CTCTTCGCCCGACGATGTCCAAAAGAGGAAGTGCCAGGGCAGTGCCTTGCTTTTAACCCCTGTGTATTCTCGGAGGTGTGTCCAAACCCCACTGGCCACACCAGACGCCAGTATCAAACCCAAAACCTTCATTGGTTTGACCACAGCTTCCCAGAATTCCCACTCCTTCCAATGGGAATGTGAATGTGGGCAGCTGGGAAACAGCAGTACATGGGCTGCTGGTGGAGTGATTTCCAGCTCTCTGTGCAAAATCATCAGGCAGGACCCAGAGAACTGCTTAGCCATCAGCAGAGAACTCTTGTGTCATCGCTGCTGAATACTCCAGCCCCTGTAAACGGCTGGCCAGGAAGTGGGGAGGTAGAGGATTGTGGCAGGCGAAATTTGTGAGGACAGGGGAATTCCACAGGAACTTCTTTTCCACAGCCTTGTGTGCTTTTGATATTTTGGACTCATAGAAAAGAAGTGACATGGTGCATCTACAAACTAATTATTGTGAAACACCAAGAAAGCGAAGAATTAGGTGGGGTATCCCCTGATGACCAGAGCAAGGTCAGAATGAATGTTTTGAAGATGACAGGGAGATTTCAGGAAGAGCAGCCAACAACTGCTGTGACATTCAGTAGGGTCTCCCTAAATCTGCCTCCTCTAAAGAAGGGTCTCCAACGGGAAACCAAAGGCACATGTAGGGTTATACAGGGAAGCACAGTCTCAACTTGGCAGGCAGTCAGATTGAGTGACCTCATTTGCCAGCCTTTCATGTTCTGCTCTTCTTGTGTTACTCCAGGGCACCACAATTTTCCCTGTCCTCACTTCTGTCCTCCATGACAGTAAAGAGTTTCCAAACCCACATGAGTTCAATCCTGAACATTTCTTGAATAAGAATGGCAGCTTTAAGAAGAGTGAATTCTTCATGCCCTTCTCAGCAGGTAAGGCACAGGTTTGCTCTTTTCCTCTCTCTGTCAGCCTCCACCTCTGGTGATCACCCTGTCTTTCCCTGCTGTTCTTCCTTCACACACCCATCCAAACTGTCAGGGGTCTTTTGCCAACAAATTCTTCTCTTGAAAATGTCCTTGGTAACTTTGACAGTTGTCTCACTGCTATGGCTGTGTGTAGTAAACAAAGCTGTGCGACACAGCTGCTTAGCACAAACTCAGGTCTACTCAGAAACTCCCATTGAGTTCTATTTGCTGCTCTCACTTTCAGGAAAACGAATATGCCCAGGAGAGGGCCTGGCACGAATGGAGATATTCTTACTCATAGCCACCATCTTGCAGAACTTTACCTTGAAGTCTGTTGTCAACCCCCAGGAGCTCAACATTACCCCAACTCTGAGTGGGACAGGCAATGTACCTCCTGCCTACCAGCTCTGTGCTGTCCCCCGCTGAAAAGCACTGAACCACTCTCCAGTGTCCTGAAACTGGCTATTCTTTTACATGTTCTTTACTAAAATCAACAGCAAGAGCACTGGCCCACTTTTACCAGGCCTTCAGGAAGGCAGTCCAAACACAAGGCACAAAGCAGAGACCTCTGAAGCCTCCCAGAACTCCACCACATCGCAGGAGGCTCTGGCTGACACTGCAGCCTCTTGCACGGATGCTCTGTCACAGGATCATTGAGTGCAGTGGCTGCATCAAACAGCCACTGTTGGTTTTCTCTCCAGCACAGCTCCCCTGGCTCTCCCACAGCATGTATCCCTCCAAGACCTGGTTTTGCAGATGGATAGTGCTGCATGTGTGTACATTCATGATCCAATAAACAAAAATCTGTTTATGACAACTTGAGCTGTTATTTAATTTGGGTTGGGGCAGTGCCCACATCAGCTGTTGCGCTGCAGAGTAGGTCTGCAGAGCCTGTGGCCAGCACCCTGTGGGAAGGGCTGTCCCTCCTGGGCAAGGATCCTGCCTTTGTCACCCACTGTGCTCCCTGCTGCTGCCTGCAGGGAGCTCCAGAGCAGTCACAGCACACCACCAGTCGGGAAGGCTCACGGTGCTGGAGGGGAAGAGTGTCCTACAGCCTGTCTGCCTAATGAAAAGAATGCATTCATGCTTTTTGCAGCCTGTTGCAAGGAGATCACTTACCTGAGCATTGGAGACTGCAACCAACTCTCTGGCACCTCTTTTCTACCATCAGTATCACTGCAGGGATTTAGATGCTCTTTATTAAAATGAATTCATTTAGGAAAAGGGTAGTGTCTCTTATTTCTGCCTCCAGCTACAATTTGGTGCCATTCTTTCAGTAAGAGGCCAGACGGTTTTCATAAAAATATTCCACCACAGATTACTTTCTCCTAGGCTTCTTTGTTCCTGTGGACTTTGGTTGTGTCTATGTTCAGTTTGTTGTGTTTGTCTTGATCTTCATTTACATAGATACTTCTTGTCCCCTGCATCATGGTCATACAAAAGTCATAGTGGCAAAATATAATTTCTGTGATTGGTTTTTACAAGGCACTCAGAGACCATGTGAGTACTGCAGAGAAAACAATGTGCAAGAATTCCCACTGTGGCAGAAGCTCGCTGGCCACATTCCTACCTCCCTTTGGAAATGTTTAGAATTACTTTGATAGAGATATCACATTTGCCCACAGCTCAGGTCCATCCCTCCTTGTCCCTCAAATTTTTCCCATGAGGACTGCAGCTCTATTGCTTGTGTACTCTAAAACAATGGCAAACCATTGCTGACTGCTCATCTGGGATTGCATCTAATGGACAGGTGTGCAAGCAGAAACAGCAGTCACATTATGAGACACAGGCACAGTGGGGAGGAGATTACCTTGAGGTTTCCATTAGTCTAAGGCTGCCCTTAGAGTCAGTCCTGCAACCCAGCAGCATGTGTGCTTTGGTCACAACAAGTTAAAAATGGCTTACATCTGGAGGTCTTGGAGGGGATGATTCATATTCATATCCTTCCTGCCCACTGGCATGCTGATTCATCTGAGGCAATGGACAAAACCATGACAAACAACATCTTTCAACAATTCCCAACAACTGCATGAGAAGCACAGGGCAGTGAGAAAATGTTCTCTTCCTAAAGAGCTCCAGAACACAGAACATGCTCAGGGGATAACCAACCACACAAAGGATAATATTTGGGATAATATTCAACATATCCTAAGCTGGATGCAATAATGCTGTGTCATTTGGAAAATGACAGCATCCTCTTGACACCTGCTCACAAGAATGACCTTGCTGAGGTCTGCTTCATAATCTAGGGCACCAACCTCCTCTTTCCTCCAACTGCCCTAAGACCCAACAATACCTCTAGGACAGAAAGGCTGAGGGCAGATGCTAAAATCCAAGCAGGTATTTGAAACCATCTCTTGCACGGTAAGGAAAGGCAGAGCTAATGAAGGAGTGAATTTGATTGCTGTGGTTGGGGCAGAGAACGGGAGGTTAAACACCCCCAAGGAGCTTTCCAACCAATAGATAGGTGATCCAGTGCCTCACCTCTCCTCCTTCCTGACCTCTCCCTGCTGCTCCCATCCAAAGACCCAACTCCCACTCACCATTTCATGGTTCTCCGTGGAAAATCCCTGCGTGCAATAACAGCAGACTGCCCAATGTCAGGGTTAGTGCTCCTTTTAGGATTAACTTCTTTTCCTGCTAACACATGCAGGACCTGCAAAGTGGAAAAGATGATAGCATTTCTCTTGGGCTGACTCAGACAAACTGTCTAGGTCCCAGAACATCCAGGCTCTGGCACACACCTGGGAAGCTGGGCTTCAGGGCTCTGGAGCCTCCATATCTTCTGTACCAGCAGCATGGCAAATCAGGCAGCTTCTGGCTCTAAGACTGCACTTATGAGGCACAGAGGGGAATCCTGCTTTTGCTTTCTAAGGCTACTACCTCCTCTGCCAGAGCATTTGCTAGAAATGCCAGGACAAAGTGGAAGATTTCTCCTGGCTTGATGCTGGGACAAATGAGCCTGTCTGGACTGAGGCATGATTCTTTTTCTGAAGTAAGTTGTGCCCCTGGGCCATACTGTGCCATGGTGCTCAGCTGCAGGAGGCTACTTGGGGATCCTTATTCCTTACTTCATCTCCTGCTTTGCCTTTGGGAACAGCTGAGAGGAAATTCAGATACCATGAAGGTTTGGGTAACTGTGACACACCACAGCACTGTTCTGGGTAGTGGAACATTAATCAATTAGGTGTGTGCTGGGGAAAGAACTCAGACATGGTCCTTAGCAAGCAGGGTAGACATCAAGCAACGGACAGAAAGAGGAAGAAAAGCATTTTAGGTGCTGCCTTAGCAGCATTTTGCTGCCACAGATTGTGGACTAAAACCTCACGGTAAGGAACATCTACCTCATCCTCTGGTCCTTCACACAGGAATTTCAAGTCTCTGGATCTTTGGCACCTGCTGCTGAAGGCCATGGGTTGTAGCCCAGCAAATGAGCTGATCCTTTAAAAAATGCTTTCAGACTAATTCCCCGATCCCTGATATTTATCACTGCAGACCTGCATCTAGGCCCCCTAAAGTGTAAGCAACACATGCGACAATGTAGCCCTTTGGCTGGACAACTTGTTGCCAAGATGATGCCGAGACCGGTGCTGCCATGCTGGATTTGCTTGTGGAGAAGGGTGTCTCCAATCCAACACAAGTAAGCAGCCTGGGGCAAGGGCTCGATGGCCCCAGCAGGGGTGTGGCACCTCCAGCCAGGTCTGCTGGGCTCCTTCGGCCTTTGAGGCCCGGTCCAATGCGGTTGGAAGGGAAGCACTTCTCAGGGGAAGTTGCTGCTCTGGCAGCTCTGCGAGTCTCCCCGTGCCCTCTGCAGGCGCCCGCCATGGTGAGGTACATCCACCAGTGGCTCACGGCCAATGAGTCTGCTGGGCACAGGATGGACAAGGCCCTTCTGGAGCTGACCCAGGAACA